TATATAACCAGTTATTTAAAACGGTGAATATTTTAGAATTTAATTCTTATTTCAAGTTCAACAAATGTCAAGCAACATCACAACCTCTACAATCTAATAATATTACTACATCAGACTGAAACTAAATCTGCTCATAGGTAGTATAAATTTTTATTATGTTTTGTTACTTAGTGAGGAATTATTTGGCCGTGACTTATATGAGCAAAAACTAATCTCTATAAGAATGGCAATACCTATATATTGTAAAATAGTCCTCTAATAATTCAAGTTCAATTCAAATCCCCTAGGCCAGAATGAACCAAACCAAATCAAATTAAACAATGAAAAAATCATATCCATGGAAGGCTAAGATTATTTCAAAATCATGGTGCTTTTTGTTTTCCATATAGGAAATTTCAGAAATTGGAAAATGCGGTAGCTGCAAATAAGGGATTGCTAAAACATGATACCTCAATAGCTCATTTAAATTCAATAACCATTTGGCATGTTAAAAATACAAATAAGGATACTGAGATAACAACAATTTTGATAAGCCAACAAATTAATCGTAATTGTTACTATCATAAATCAATATTTGATTTGATGCTATTTCTTAGCATACAGGAGCTGGATTGGTTCAACAAAAATTACGGATGCTGCAAATGATGAAAATATAATTTATTCTTCTGAACTATTTATAGCAATATTTTCATAAACCATCCAAAAAGATCCTTCATTATATAAAATTATGAAATATATAATCCAAAATTCCCAATATACATCACTTGGAATTATGAAGAAACAATCTTGAATTAATATCTATTATGGCAGATATGGTGCTTAAATATATTTCAGATAAATATAACAAAAGTGAGATACCTTTTTTTTGTCTTAAGGCTGATGTGATGAGCATTAGATTGTGAAAACCTGAGCATAATTATTCGCTATATATTTTCTGAGGAAGTCCAAGAAAATTTATTAGGAATTATTAATTTACGGTGCTTTTCTGTTGAAAGAATTAATGATTACATTTTAGAGCAACTTAATGAGTTAAATATTAATTCAACGAATATAATAAACCAGGCATATGATGGTGCAAACGTTATATCTGGCAAAATGAAGGAGTGCAAACCCTACTTCAAAAAAAAATTTTAAAAAAGTTCCTTTTATACATTGCTACAACCACAAGTTGTTGCATCTTGTGGTTCATAATTGGTATAATAGTATTGTTATCACTTCTAATTATTTAGATGTTTTAACGTATCTTGTAAATATATAGGCCACAGAGGTAGACGGGTCATTTTGAAAATCTCACATCATTTATGAGAATTTTAAGGCCATTGGAGAAGTATTATTTTACTTTTCTAATAGAACACTTAATTGAGGTTTCCACTCATGATTCAGGAAGCCTCTGGTCTTTTATCTCAATGCATTAATATAAATTACGTTATATTAGTTATTATAATTTATGAGATATTAATAACAATGGACCCACTAAATTAGTATCTAAGTCAGTGGTACTAATCTAGTGGATGCTAAAAATTGTATTGATTCCATGATCAATATATTAAATAATAAAAAAAGCAATTATTGTTTTGATTTGATTAGAATTAATGCTGAAAAACAAACTTTTAGCGAAAATCTCACTCCAAAAAAATCTTCAAGGGTACGTAGAACGCCTATAAATTTTAAGATTTTTTAGTCGAGACCAAATTACAATTTGATTGTGAAGAAGACTCCAATTGGAGTTTTTTAAAAAGGAATTATTATGAAATTTTAGATTACTTTGTTGATCGTTTTTTAGATAGAATTACACCAGATGGTAATAATCTTCTATCATATTTTAATTGTCCCCTTTTCACCCTGTTTATTTTATAACAGATAAAAGGGCTTCATTAGAATCATTATTAAACTTAAATATGGAAACGTTACAATGAAAATAGCTAAATGATTATTAACTGTAGAAGTTAGAGAAACACATAACTTTAAAAATTTCCTAAATATTATGTATAAAAAAAATACCAACATGCATTTAAAGAATTTTATAAATGCTATTTAGCAGCAATCATCATTCAGGTATCGTTCTCTACACTAAAGAGAGTTCAATCGAGCACTATATAGTCTATGAAAGATCAACTTAAGCAAAATTAATATTGATGACTTATGAAAAAAAAACACAAAATTTATCCTTTAATTCATTAATGTTAAAATCTAAAAATAAAAATCGTCTTATTATATTATAGTATTATTTTGTATTCATATTATAATATTATTTTGTATTCATATTATAATATTATTTTGTATTCATATTATAATATTATTTTGTATTCATATTATAATATTATTTTGTATTCATATTATAATATTATTTTGTATTCATATTATAATATTATTTTGTATTCATATTATAATATTATTTTGTATTCATATTATAATATTATTTTGTATTCATATTATAATATTATTTTGTATTCATATTATAATATTATTTTGTATTCATATTATAATTAATTAGAAATAGCAAAAAATTTCTATGAATGTTTAATTATTTATTTTATTTAAAAAAAATAGTGGCCCCCTCAAGTTAGCAGCTGGCCCCCCTACCTGAAAATCCTGGCTACGGCCCTGATTTAGCATTAACAGTTGAAGCTTAATTGATTATTATTATTTAAATTATTTTATAACACTAATTAAATAAATATAATCATTTATTAATTGAAAATTAACAAATTTAATATTGTAATCAGCCAATTTCAAAATCATTAATCCATTTTTAAATTTAATTACCATGTCTCTTCCTAAAAAAATTTCCAAGGTCCATACAAGTATATTTCTTTATAAAAGGTAATTAAACATGTTAAAACCGTTTAATTGCTAAAGCTTGGGACCAAAATATTAAAAAATTCCGCAATTATTTGATATTTCGCAATTAACCTGTTCGAAAGAAGCTCTAAACACCATATAATTTTATGCTCTGGATTAGTCGTTTATATTCTCTTCTTCAAAAATTATTGATTTGGTTAGGTCTAAAAAATTTTCCCTATTAGTCCATTTTATAAAACATTGTCTAAAATGGTAACATAATGTTATATTAGTTTTATGCTTAGAATTATATTGCCTTGTGGTTTTTAAAAGCCATTTTCAATTGAGGCAGTATATGAATTAATTAACCTTTTTTATCACTTGTAATTATTGAGATGTAAAATTTTTTTATATCCGTAATCGAAAATATTTAATATTTTAATAAATGAATAAATATTTTGTATTAAAAAAATTATATCTTTTGAAATGTCTTGTATTGTTTGGCTTTTATTATTTGTATACATAATAAATGATAAAATATATAGTAGCATCTTAGGAATGGGCGCGCAGGGGCTCGAGTTACCTGAAAATTTGAATAAGCCCTGAAGCAAATTTTTTTTAATGGCGCCTTTATATTCCCTTTAACTAAAAATAAATTTTTTTGATAGCCCCCTGAACAATTTTTTTCATAATTTTATTAAGTATTATATATTGATTTGATTTTATTATTTAAAAATTAATAAGACTATCTAAAAGTGCTATTTTAATTATTATATCAGATTAATACATATAAATTATATTTTTACTATGCCAGCTTGCAATCAAATTCTGTGTTAAAAATGGAATATCAATATCACTCAGAATTAAATATCAATATAGTATTAACAGTTGAAGCTTAATTGATTTTTATTATTAAAATTATTTTAAATCATTTATTAATTGAAAATTAACCATAGGTGTAGCCAGGATTTTCCTAAGGGGGAGGAATTAAAAAATTACTGGGGGCTTCGCCCCAAACCTTCTTTGCCCGGCCTTGGGCCGGGTTACCATAGTCCTTATATAGTCATAAAATATTTTTACAAATTTTAATTAAAAAAAATAAGCCTGGAACAAATATGAAATATATTTTTATTAGTTTATATAAAATATAATAAATTACTTGTCTATACATTAATAAAAAGGCATGGTAATAATTTATTCCAAACAATTATAAGAAATTTATTTATAAAAAGTAAGTAGACATATAGTTGATCTTATTATATAGAATTAGTTACAAAATACTAGGTAAAATTCCACTTTTACAGAGATATTTAATAGTTAGAGAATATATTACAGTTAATAATTTAACAAATTTTACTAATCAATGCTCTTTATAATAAATATAGCAACAATTTGCATTTAAATATTTAACGCCATCTATTTATTTTAAGTAAAAATGTTATGAAAATTTAATCTTCATATTATTCATTCTACAATGTCTTTAAAAGATATTTTCTGATGTCATTATCATATTTTATAGTTTTCTGTAAAATATATAATTCGCTATATTGGTAAAAATTACTTGATTGCCATATGATAATTTTTTTTAGATGAGCTCTCTGAGATTGGAAAAGCTAGTGCCCCAGCCTTACACTTTGTTGATATTATCTGAACTTGAATGTAGAAGGTACCTAGAAAATACTTGTAATTATATAGTTAATAACAATTGATGTCGTGTTGAGTCTTCCAAAAAAATTTCTCCGTAAAATTCTAATTTAATAAAGTTATAAGGAATTAAAAAAAATATTTAAAAAATTAGTTGATTGGCAAATAAAATGTAAGTAAATAAATTAAAAAATATAAATAGCATATGAAAAGCAACCTACAAACAAGTGCTCTACGAAAAGCTTTTGTTCAAATATCATTAGTATTCAGAATAATGTGAGATTATTAAAGATTAACGTGAATAATTGTAGAAACTACTGGTTTAGATTATTACAAGCTATTAAAAATTAATAGCTTTCTTTTTAAATATTCTTACCCGGAATTCACAGTTAGCACGAATTGGCGGCGAAAATCCGCGCTAAATGTGATTGCAGGGTTACGATTATTTTAATATATAATAATAAAGTGACCAGCAATAGATCCTCTTTTTTGAGTATAGATTTTGAAATATTTTGCAATAATAGCCAGACATTTAAAGGGTGTCTTCAAAAATGAATCTTTGCCAAAAAAACGAATATCTGTCAAATATGACACCTATGGAATATTATTATATCATCCTATTTTATATTAGACACGGTATGTTCGCTTAGATCATCATTTTAACAATTAAAATGCAACAATATCCAATTATAATACCTAAGTATTGATTTCTATAATAAATTATAGAAATATATTTACCTTTATAGGACACACACTAACATAAAATATGAGGTTATGAAATTTAACATACCGCTTAAAAATGAATTTATTCCCAATTTACCAGTAAATTTTCATTATATATAAATTTTGCACTTGTTATAAGCTATTATTTTATATTTGTATAGAATTACATATTCTAATTATTTTATTAAAATCTAAAATAATATTCACTATATTATGCTTATGTTTACATTTTATTTGATATTAAATTTAAAATAATTTATCTTAAATAATATGATATATGGTATTGGTTCATAATTAAAATTATATCTAAAATGATGAATGTTGTAGGCTCAGTGACATATAATATTATGTCATTTAATAAGCTCATAGTTTTAATTTGCAAGTAAAAGTTTTTTAAAAAAAATATAGGCTTATCCTACTAGACTTCTTAGTTTATAAGATAGATGGACTGGCTGGTTAATGGCTTCATGAAATATCTTTTATATGGTCCCCAAGCATTTGGGACTTCACCCCAAGCCCCATTTGGTAGCCTATGGCTTCTTCTGAGTATGATATAATGTTCATAGATTGCTCCATTTAGAGTTCATTATAAATATATGTTACTATTCATATAGTCATTAATTTACATATAGAAATATAACTACTATAGATTTAGGTATATCATTTTTACATTTCATTTATTTAAATCAGTTATATGATACAAAATAAATGGCTGGTTCTGAATATTTTTAAAATAGTAGTTCTAATCTATATTTTGGATAATAGGTCCTGGCTCTTTAATTGGGCCCAGTTATAATTTAATCAATAGGCTTTGATATAAAAATCAACTAATATGTTTCAATATAAATGATCAATTAAAATGTTTATAATATATCATATAATAATAATAAAAAGATAACTAAAACTATAAGGGTCATGAACTATAACAATAATAAAAAACACAGTAAAATTTATATTATTTAGAAAATTAAAATTCAAATATACATTCAACAATTCTATAAAATATAAACATGCAAGAGTTCTAGGTTCAAATTATAATATACCATGCATTTATTTATTGTATTTTCTTTCTATTATTAATAAATAAAAGTATTTACTCATTTTTTTAGAGATCTGGAAAGCTCAAAATATAACTAGTTAAATAATTAATATAGATAAATTTATATTAAGTTGACTTTATTCATTAAAATAAATTTTTGAATATAGTTATATTTAGTAAAATATAGGGTTTATACTTTCACTAGGCCCTAATTAACCTCTAGATTTTTAAAGGTTATGTGACCAGTCCATTATAAATATTTTTGAAGAAAAAAATCATTTATTTAATTTCTTTTCTGAAATAGGTAATCGGCCCATAAATCTTGCAACATGGCTTGTTGACTGGGCTATGCTAAATCTCTAATTTAAAATAAAGCATAAATACTTTATTATGATAAGAAAGAAATCACCTAATAAAAGAACCTATGCCATATGTTTTAGAGTTTTTTTTTACATCTCTATATTTAGGTATAAACATTATTCCCCCAAAAATTTTAAAAATATTGTGATTTGACCGTCTCAATGACTAATTGCTGGCGTTATCCATGGAAAAATCTTCATTTTTATTTTATACAACTATATTTAGGTGTTTTAATATTAATAGTTTTGATAAAATTTTATTATGTAATGATATAACGTTAGTCCACTTGTTAAACAACGATCAAAATTTATTAAAATGCAATAAGACCCAATTATTTTTAATATATATTAACGGAATCACTTGGTCAAGTCCGATCTACTTTATCCTCCCAAGGACGGAACCACCTAGTTGGCTTTAGAGAAAACATGATCCATGCTGGATTCGAACCCAGAACTATCTGATTATGATATACAAACTGAACTGACAAGGCCACAGACGCTACTCAAAAACATTAAATTTTTTTGTAGATAAGGATAAAACTACAATGCTATCTATAATAATAAAACAAAAAATCAATCATGGTCAACTTTACACATCATAACCCAATTTAATATAAATGAATGAGTGCAGCAAAAAGCGACAAATGCCTACCTTATAGAGGTCTTAGCAAGTGGACAATTAATATAAATCTGCTCACTTATCAAGGTAGACAGTTGCCCAATTTTATCAAATCAATTCAGCGAAACTGTAATGTCGTTTATCGCTAAGGGATTTTATAGGGAAGGTATCCTAAACCAATTCCGCGATTTTTTTTCCGCGAAATTTATAGAAGACAATATTGATCGCTAATTTATTTCAGCTAAAACTTAACCGCGAATACTTTAAAAGAATACATTTTAGCGAAACTTTACGCGAACCCATTATAGCAAAACTTTTATCACCAACCATATATAGCGAATTTTCTACCGCGTATGTATTTGTGCAAAATCATTATCGCGAGCGTATGACCACGAAACAATCAATTTATTGCGAATGCTTATATTTAGGGGTGTATCGATATTTTATATCGGATCGGACCGATATTTCACCCATTTTAAAATATCGGTTATCGGCAAATATTATAAAATTTACCTATCCGATCCGATAAAAATGGCGTTTTTAACAAAAATAATATATTATAAAATTTAAAAACCCATTTATTTTTATAAATAAAATCGAAATCCATTTTTATGTTTAATTTTTTTAATAGTAATAATTAGTTAAAACATTCTGCCATATTATTATTTTTTTCGCATTCTGTTTATAAAAGTGTGCAATAATCTTTTCAGAATCTGTTTTTAGTGATGCTAGTGATATTGACAATCCCCATCACCGCAGACTGCTCTCTAATAAATTGGAAATTTTGGTATTTCTAAAAAGAAATCTCCGATATATTAATTTTAAATATTAATTTAAATATTTATTTCAAATTTCATATATATTTGTTTATTACTAATTATGTAAATAGATTAATGGTATTACTTATTATATAAATAAGTGATTTATCAATAAAAATATTTTATATACTTTTAGAATTGCAATTGAATTGAATTAAACTATAACTGATCATTATAATATATTAAATGACATAAGTTATGGTATAGTTAAATTATAGATGTTATACTAATAAAAAGTATATTAAAAATTAAAACCATTGGTATCTTTACAGAATACAAGATCAGATATGATATCGGATCGGTAATCGGCCGATATCAATTTAATATCGGGAATATCGCATCGGCCTCCAACAAGTGGTTTCGGTACACCCTTACATATATTTATAGGAAAATAACATTGATATTAATATACTCACAAAAGTTCCTTTAATCATAAACGCGAAATTTTTATGGATCTTTAGTTACCTATCTATTAAGTAAGCATCTGATATGATAAAAAATAAATTAACAAATATCTTTCTGGGCTCTTCTCATGCATGGATGTAAGTACGGAGAGGATATTTGGTTCAGTTTTTACTCCAATAAATTTACCCCCCCCCCCTCCAATATCAATTTTTAAAATGTGCTTTATGCCATTGAGTGTCAATTTGAGCAAATAATTTGAAATGCTTAGAAATTTTTCCAATCAAGATATAAAAATTATTGAAAGCTAAGGATTTTTGCTGATTTCTTAGATTATTTTTAAAAATTATAGAAAATTTTGCTAAGTAATTTTTTAAAATTTTCTTAGAATTTTTAAATTAAATCTTCCTTATTATTAAGACATAGAGTAATGATTAATTTGAAAACTCAAATAATCATGCTTATGCACTTTAAAAATAAAAGAAATATAAATTTCTGAGTGATATATTATATTTTCTAAGAAATTTTGGGAAATTAAAATGTTTCCTTATCAAAATCATCTTTTGGAAATTCAGTAAAAATTACTTTAAGTTGTTTTAATTCTGACTAATAGAAGAAAAATATATGCTCTAGCACTAACTTAAATGTACTGTAATTAAGAATTACATATTGGTTTAAGTTTCAGAATTAGTGGTTGTCAAAATTTGGCAAACTTCATATAACTTAATATTATATTTAGATTTATATCAAATTTTTGAACTAATATTTTCGATGTTTTAATGGTTTGTACGGGTTTCTCTATAAAAAAATCGCTATATTTTTTTATTGATATTTCTTCGCAGAATAATATTCGCCAATTCGCGATAAAAGTCTCTAAAAAATCCATTCGCGATAAAAGTTCCGCGAAAAAGTATTGCGTGATAAAAGTTTCGCTGAATTGACATGGAACCCAATTTATCAAGCCATTTTTTAATACTAGTTAACAGGAATTTGACGGGACTCAAAATTTTGGTCAAATTAGGGAGTTGCCAAAATTATTGAGAGTCCAAATTATACAGGTTTCTGTATATATAAAAAAAATTAATTTAAAATTGATTAAGATTATAAATTAATTTGAAAATTTTTTTTTGCTTATTTTTTGTTTTTAGAATATATATTTATTATATTTAATTCTACTCTCAAAAAAATTACTGCTTTTAAAAAAATATCGTTTTGCTCGCCACAATTAATTAATTTCGAAATAAAATTTATAAAATGGTAGGGAAAAATTTACAGGCAAAATGAATACGCCGAGGCTGCAGGCGATAAAAAATCACAACCCCGCCCAGAAGAGAACAATGCGGATGGTGGGGAAGAACCAAAATTCGGTGCCGGAAGCTCTTATTCACATTTTATGAGAGGCGATAAGAAACATAAATTTGAAAAGCGAGCTACCACAAAATCAGACGATAAGACTTGGATGATGAATCTTGGGACTGGAAAAAGTTTGAGAAGGTATAAAATATCATCGTTTGTCTTTCTTTTTTTCAAAAAAATATACATTGTGGCAAAAAATGCCGTATTACAAAATATCTGGATAATTTCAAAAAATAATTTAGCTGTCGTGAAGGAAATTTTTTTACCTTAATGAGATTTTCTAAATTTTAAAAAAGAAATATTAAATAAGTAATAAACTAAGCATTTCATATTCCTAACAGTTATATAATTAATCTCATGATAAAGGTTATTCTTAATTTTGTAATATTTTTTCTTCAAATTTCAAAAAAAGTTATAAAGGCACCAAGGAAGGTAACATGGGAGAAAACTCGTCTTATTACGTATTCATGCAATCTGCTGATGGTTCCGCCTTCGAGGCTTACCCCATATCTACTTGGTATTCCTTCACACCAGTACCAAAACATAAAACACTAGATTATGATGAAGCGGAAAACGAATTTCTACGGTTTTTTAAAAAAATTTATGTAACTAGATAATTTATAATGATGATATTTTGGGATAGGGCATTATTTACCCTGACCTGCAAAATCGAAATTTTTAGCCCCTAGCCTGCCTGAGGTCGTGGCATATTTTTAGATCGATGCCCAGTCAGTGGCCAGACCCGGGGCTCAAATTTTTAAAATTTACAGGTAAGACCTCAGACTCAAAATATTGATTTTATTCTCTATTTGATGTTATGCATTAAATTTAATACAATAACTTTGATAATTTAACGAGTTTAATCTCTTTTATTCTATTTATTACAAAATTTGATATGAAAATGAATAGTAATTATTTCCCACGAATCTTTTTAAAACTTTCTTATTTCTTGAATTAATTTTATAATTGTGATAATCAATCATACAAAAAAAAGGAAAATAAGTAGGAAATATAATATTAATATTCGAGACACCAGCCGAGCCTATAAATTAACAATGTACCTTTACGACACTGGGCTGGATTGGACCGATGGGTAGGTATCATACTTTAAAAATCTGCCCCAAAACCTATATGCAGTCATGATCATATTAGCATTTTAACCTAATTTAGCAATTTCAGTTACCGTCTCTTTAATAATTGAACAAATGAGCTACTAATTCGCTTAAAAAAATTTAGTTTTAAAAACACTAAAATATGGCATCGAAATATAGAATAAGATATGAAACGAAAATCTTCCTTTATAGTATTCCCGCTTATTATCCGCTTTTTTAAACTTACATTATCTCCTAAATATATGATAAAAGGAGGGATAAGGTTCTCAACTATTTTTCAATCATGATTCAAAAACGGTTGATGACATCGCAAGGCAAGCAGGATTTGATTAACGAGGAAGAAGAACTTAAAAATTCAGGCTTAAAGAATAATAAAAGGATCGCAGTCGACAAGGATCTTCTTACCATCCGGGACGTGGATCTAACAGAATTCGAGGCGGATGATAGAGAACATGATGGATCCGAATTAGATGGTTATTTTTTATAATCTATGGTTGGTGGTATTTTACTTTCATCTATTTTAACATCATGCTATTTTGGTAAACTTAATATGATAAAAACTATATTATTAATATATAAAAAAGACTATTTATATTTATTATGGGGTTCGAAGGTGGAGGAAACTCCTAAGTTGAAGTTTTTTTTTAGTTTTACCCACGAATTGTGGAGTTAGCTAAAATGATCTTGCGAATAAATATCACCCCCTCAATAATTTTTATTTTTGAGCGTTTATGTTATAATTTGAAGTGCTTTGAACATATGTAAAGAAAACTATACCGGATGGGCTCACTAAATAAAAATTGGACAGTAATAATATATTTTTAAAGAATTAAAATATTGTTCTATTTAGAAATAAGTAATAAATACAGTGTATAATATATATCTTAATAATAAAGATAATTGCTATTCTCTAAAATTCATAATTGTGTTAATATATAAAAGTGTGCCATACCCAGTATAAGTCATAGATAGGAGGGGGGGCATGGAAAATATGATTAGATAAACTTTTATGTTTTCATAATACTTTCATTTTGATATCTAGATGATAATTTGTTTTTATTTCTTTTTTTATAAAACCCTCTCCTTAAATTTATATTTTTATAAAATCAGCTCAAAATTATTTCCCTCTATTAAAAAAAGTGGATGAGAATATTCTAATAACTAAAGTGCTCCAATAAAAGTCAATTTGATTTAAATCACTTAAATTACCCTGATTTTTTTTAAAAAAATTAGTGATTTAAATCAATATTTTTAATAAAATTCTATTTGCTAAGTTTGATGAAAATACTTAATATTAGGAAATACAAAGGCTTAGATCACTAATAATTTTTATATGAAAAATATTAAATTGTACTAGTAATCATTACTTATTAGATAAAAAAAAATACTTGATTTATTTTGTATTTTCCTGTTTCAATTTTTGACATTAATTAATCACAATCTGGTGAGAAATTATTTAATATTCTAATTATTTTTATTAGTTTGTTAAATTTAGGGCTATGAACTCTTCTAAAAAAGGTTCTGGTTCAGGGTTTGCAGTATAGAAAAATAAAGACTTTTATTAGTAAAACAGAAACATCAACTTTATTAAAATTTATTTTACTATATTAGCATTACGATAAAATAAATACAATACAATTTAAAAATAATATTCTATTTATTTTTTAAAATTTCATAATAGAATTATCTTGATATCTTCCAAAATCTAGATGTTAAAATTAAAAGATCGATTTTTTATGCCTATCTTTGACGGTGCATTGCAATTTCATGGACTCGATATGTGTATTTGAATTTAATTGTTTAAAATAAGACTAGTTTTCCTAAAATATTTCTAAGTTTTTGGAATTATGATGAAAATACTTTACTGATGCTGTTGATTGTTCTACTATGAATTAAATGGTCCGGCTAACCATCCGTTATTTTTTATTATTATTTCATCAGAAAACATAATTTTATTAAAAGGATGAGATATAGCTTGGAATTTTACCATGATTTAAAGTATTAAAATAATGTTGATTTTCTGGGTGATGTGTTATAAAAATAACCATATAATAATAATTAAATAATAAACTAATCTAATTTAGATATAATCAAACTTTTTTTATTTTGTCAAATAACCAAACTTAAAAAATTATTAGATTGCTTATTTGATTGGTGTAATATCCTTTATTAACATTTGATTTATCCTCAGGAAAAAGGTTAATTAAACCATTTATCAATATATAATTTAAAAACTACTATCAGAAAAAGAGAGGAGAGGGAGAGTTTTAAATATGTTAATTTTTAGGGCATACTAAACGTGCCACAAACCTAATATCACATCACGATTATTTTAAATTAAGGGTATTAACGAATATTTTAATTTGGCTAATGCATCAGGGAATCCAATTGAGAAATAACGGTATTTGTTTTTGAAAATGAATGATTTTTTCCGAATCATTGTTATCTACTAGGTAAAATTTTTTAAACAGCTTACACATATCATCGAATTTTTGATTGACAGACGGCATTATTTGACATAGTATCAAATTAGGCAATTACTTATCAATGTATATTTTTTCAATAATTTCCTGAACTGTTCTCCTGAAACATTAACTTTTTTACTTAAAAAGAAATATTATACTAAGGTACAAAAAATTATGATGTATATTTTCTAATTTAAATTGTAACTCCTCTAATTGAAATATCTGGTTTAAATATCGCGATTTGACCGATACACGATTTGAAACCGAAATACTGTCTTGTTGGCGTTATACATAAAAAATTCTTCATTTTTGGTTTATACGTGAACAATAACGTGTTAAGCATTATCCTAATTAATTTTTTGAAAATATTATGATTTGACCGAATGCCGAGTCTAAAACCGACCACTTACTAAATATTCGATCGACCAAATTTGGTGTTAATATTATTTGGAAAATAATCATTTTTGGTTTAAATATCTATATATACGTGTAAATCATTATTCCAAAAAATATTTTAAAAATATCGCGATTTGACCGATACACGATTTGAAACCGAAATACTGTCTTGCTGGCGTTATACATAGAAAATTCTTCATTTTTGGTTTATACGTGAACAATAACGTGTTAAGCATTATCCTAATTAATTTTTTGAAAATATTAAGATTTGACCGAATGGCGAGCTCAAAACCGAACACTTACTAAATATTCGATCTACCAAATTTGGTAGTAATATTATTTGGAAAATGTTCATATTTGGTTTATATATCTGTATATACGTGTAAATCATTATCCTAAAAAATATTTTAAAAATATCGTGATTTGACCGATAACCGATTTGAAACCGAAATACTGTCTTGCTGGCGTTATACATAGAAAATTCTTCATTTTTGGTTTATACGTGAACAATAACGTGTTAAGCATTATCCTAATTAATATTTTGAAAATATTATGATTTGACCGAATGGCGAGCTCAAAACCGACCACTTACTAAATATTCGATCTACCAAATTTGGAAGTAATATTATTTGGAAAATGTTCATTTTTGTTTAATTTGAAACCGAAATACTGCGTTGCTGGCACTCTCCATGTAGAATTCTTCATTTTTGGTTTATAAGTTAACAATAAGGTGTTAAACATTATCCTAAATTATTTTTATTTATACCTATAAAATCAAATTTAAATTATATATTCTCTTCCCCAATAAATGATATAAGCAGTAATTATGATAATAAATCTTATAAGGAATCGCATGAATCTACACCTATAAAATCAAATTTGAATAATATAAAATTTTCCCCAATTAATGATAATAAATATACTAATAATCAAAAATTCACTAATTTTTCAATAAAAAACATTTTATCATCAAATTCACAAAATAAAATTTTTTACCATGCGATAGTAGTGATATCATCTTAAAAAAATCATTTATCGAGACTACACAGGTAATACAGCTTTTACTAGATCCTAAAAATATTTTAAATTCTATACCAATAGGTATCAAATATAATAAATATTATATAATTAATAATTCTAATAATATAAAAAATATTGGATATCGCAATGCATATGTTGATGATTGTGGTGCTTGGAGTAGTGTCAATCCAGTTTAAAAAAATATATTTATTTCTTAGATAAAAATAGTATATTAGGCCCATATGTTTTTAATAATAATTGCCTTTGCAAGTATACTAGGAGGAATAATAAACCTATATATGACATAATAATTAAATCACCAGATAAAAGTTACATGTTTATATATAATATATATTATACTTATTAAAGGGATGAAAACTATAAAAGAAAAATTAGTATTTTAAATAAATTTGATAATACCTCTAAACTTAATTTAAAAAACGTGTATTTAGTTGAATATCTAGGTTTTTATCCAGTAAATGTTATAAATGAAGATAAATATGAAAAAGAGTATATACGTACCCATCCAACTATTTTAAGGGAAATTGAGAAAAGTATTAACACTGAAAAAATTCCTAAATTATATAAAAATTTAATTATAAATAATGATTTTAAAACGAGTCCTCATAATATTAAGCAGCTCCGAAATATAAAATATAATATCAATCAAAAAAATAAAATAGTTTGTTCAAATAATTTTTCTGATAATATATTAAATATAATTTCTAATATTGAAAAGCACCCTTTTGTACAAAGTGTAATACATAAAAAAAATAAAATTACTTCTATTATTCTTTATACACCCTTAATGATAAAAAATATAAAATATATGTGTGCAGAAAATAATCCATCAATCCTTGGTTTCGATCGTACATTTAATCTCAGTGATTTATATGTTACGGCTTCAGTTTTTAAGCATAAGTCTATCAAACTTGGGTCTACTAATGACTATCCAATTTTTCTCGGCCCAGTTTATTTGCATGGGAATGTAGATTATCAAACTTATAATAATTTCTTTTCAGATTTAGAGGGAATTTTTTAAAAAAATCTAATTAATAAAAACAATATAATTTTTGGAACAGATGATGAAAAAGCTCTATATACCTCCATAAAACATAATTTTCCGAATTCTGTGCAATTATTATGCACAAGACAAAAGAAAATATTAAAAATTATTTGAGAGATAAAGAGGGAATTCCCGAAGTAATAAGAAATAAAATAATATTTTTAATTTTTGGTAACAATGGCTTGATATTTTCCAATTCTGATGAGATTTTTTTTGATAAACTTAATAATTTACGAAAATTTTGCGAAAATAATCACTACTATTTTTTTATAGAATATATTAACATTTATTTAGAAAAGAATTTGTACAATCATGTGTTTATTCCAATAATAAATAAAATTATAAGTGATTTATGGACTAACAACAATTGTGAGTCCATGAATCATGTATTTAAAAGTTATACAAATTGGCAATCAAGTAATTTAATTAATTTATTGATATAATATATAATAAAGTACAAATACAAGAAAAAGATCTCGAAAGAGCTTTGATAGGAAAAGGAGAATATTATTTGGCTGAGGGTTAT